TATATATACTTAGCTACAATGACCTCTCTAAATGGTTATTTTGTTATACAGTACATACGTTTATACAGTGTAGCCCTCTCTGCACCACAAAATAAATAAATAAATAAATAAAAAAGGTAAAATATTGCTTTCTGATTGACTAAGTCTGCTTTTTTCTTGTTTGTTTTTGACCCTTTCAAAGAACAGGTCAGTAGAACCTCTGAGGGCCATTATGGCAACCACTTTGCCATTGGGCATTTTGTAGCAACAAATGATGCTTGCTATGTTTCCTTGCTGAGTCAGATTTGATGCTGGGTGTTAACCAACACCTGAGCCTGTGGATACAGGATTGTTGGTCGGCAATGGTAAGAAACTTATTCTAACTGGAGGTCCCTGAAAGCACTGGATGGGTAAAGTTCCTCCTCCTCGGGGTGAGAAGAGATGGAGGGAGTGACAATCACAGGAAACGCCACCTCTGGGTCAAAGGCAAAGTTGATGTCCAAGTACACCTGGCAAACAAAGCAGTTCGGACAATAACTCAGTCCACAGTGTACATAACTATTCAGTTTCAGTTAATAAATATGCAATATATGGTGATTCTGATCTTAAAACCTAAAGCAAATGTACCACAGCTTCACAATATCAATGTAGTAACTGCTTTTTACATAAACCCATATTGTTATAATTATATTGAAATATTTTGTGCCCACACTTGCATAGTGACTGAGAGAACAAATAAATGTGTTAACAGTCATGATAGACAGAAACTGTACATGGGTAGAGAGAGGGATAGTTTACTGTCATATAAAGAAAACAAAATACAGATGCAGCCCCATTAGTGCTTCAAGAAATGACAACTGTAGCAAATATGTCAACCACTGAACAACCACATGAAAAAAATGTGTCAGCTGACCTGTACTCATGGCAGATTTTAAATGTCAGCTGAAGATGAAGGCTGATTACAAATATTAGGACTTAATGCACCACTAGCTCATTTGAAGTTCCCTTTTTTTCCTGTTCCCTGGTAGCTTCATATTTTTCATCCTCTGCACAAGTCAGTGCACTTTCATCTTTAAAAAAAGAAAAAAAATTGTATAGGTCTTCTGGACGGGTTCTTCTCTAATGAAACGTTTCGTCTCTTCTCCAAGAGACTTCTTCAGTCTGAGAGTTTCAGGCAAAATTCAGGCTTTTCAGGCATCAGGACACTTTCATCTTTACCTTTGTTATGCACTTCCTGTTCCTCTGTATGGTCGACCCGAGGTATCTAAACTTGACTTTTTTTACACATCTATTTCTCGCAGCTGCACTGCTACATCTGTCTCCTTCCCATTGACTGTTGTTCCTCTTTTCTCCAGAGCATACCTCCATTTCTCCAGACTCTATTCCACCTGCTCCTCACTACAAATCACCATGTCTTCAGCAAACATCATAGTCCAGATGAGACTCCTGACCTTGTCTGTGTACCTGTTCAACCCCCATTGTTTATTTCTCAACATTATCATTGTTTCTGTTTAAATTGTCATAAAATGAAAAGAAGCTGGATGTCACTTCTCTGGCAAATGAGCTGACTGTTAAAGGCACAGTGTGTAGGATTTGTTGTTTTCAGTGACATTTAGTGGTTGAGTGGTTGAATCATCCTCCCTGGTCCTACCCCCAACCCCACCCCCCGCTTCTAACCGCAAAGTACGGTGTCTCTCAGGTGTCAAAACCTTTGATAATTCCAACCGCGATGTCTACCAGCAGCTTCAGGGCTAGTGATGTTTCAA